TTTGCAATATATGTACTTTTGACCCAGAAAATAAGCCTTTAGGGATTTACTCTAACATAGTTGTTGTGAATGGACAATTTTATGAAGATATTTGTTTACTTTAAAAGTAAAAATTTTGAAATAACCCAGAGATATCCATATAGGGAGTTGGTTAAAGATATTTACTTTAAAAGTAAAAATTTTGAAATAACCCAGAGATATCCATATATGGGGAGTTGGTTAAACAAAGTAGAATATATTATTTTAGCATGCACCCATTATGCCAAACCTGGTCGTCTCTCTCTGTTCCAGAATGTGATGAACTTCAGTGAGAACTACATGTGCAGACAAAAAATAAATGCTTATGATGTTATAAGAGTAAAGTCATAAAACAACTTGTACAGTCAATTACCAACAATTTCTATTTTTCATTATGTTTTAAATTTTATATTACACTTATAGTTAAAAAGAATAATGCTATTTTTCCTAATGTGTCCAAGCCAGCAGTAGAAGGAGTTTCAGGTTTGCTGACATCACATTCACAGTGCACTCTCACAGATTATTCATTACATGGTATGCAGGTAAAGGGATAGATTAAAAAGCACTCAGGAGCACAGGAAGAGGCCACATGGAGCAGTTCAGGGAATAGATTTTTAAATGTTTATATGCTTAACAATTTTTGAGTACCGATATATCCAAAGCACTGTGATAGGTGGTGTGCACCTTCACAATACTTAAAAGAAGTAAAGGAGATTTGTAAACAAAACAGCATGGCATCTCCAAGAAGGGAAGAATTCATTCAAGCTTGGAGCTCAGTGGACTCGTTCTGGAGGAGGTGGAGTTTGAGTTAGGACAAAATTGGGAGAACGTGAGAACTCTGTTGAATTATAGGAGAAATCCACTTACACAAACAGACAAGCCATATGCTTTTAAAAAGTGCTATTCTTTCTAAAAGTGAACTACTTATTAAAGTATAACATGGATATATAAAAGTACACAAATCATAAATGTACTGCTTGATGGAGTTTCAAAAAGTGATCACACCAAGGTAGGAAACAAAATACTGAGTAATCCCATGAGCTCCCGCCATGCCCCTTTCTGGTCAATAACCTGCTCAAGGGTAATCAGTATCCCTACTTCAAATTTCATCGACTAAATTTCCCTGTTTTTGAACTTTATAGAGGCAGAATATACTCTTTTGTGTTTGGTGTCTTTCATTCAATATGGTATTTGTGAATTTCATTCATGGTGTTTTTGGTAGATATACAGTCATGCATCGCTTAATCACGGGGATCTCTTTCTGAGAAATGTGTCATTAGGCAATTTTGTCATTGTGAGAACATCATGGAGTCATTTACACAAACTTATTACACTATATTATACCATATAGCCTATTGCTCCCAGGCGATAAACTTGTAAAACATGTTACTGTACCTAATACTGTAGGCTGTTGTACCACAATGTTAAGATATGTTTGTGTATCTAAGATCTTTAAAAATGGAAAAAGCACAGTAAAATATGATACAAAAGATAAAAATGATACATCTGTTAAGGGCACTTAGTATGAATGGAACTTGCAAAACCAGAAGTTGCTCTAGGTGAGACAGTGGTTGAGTTTTGGGTGAATGTGAAGGCCCAGGTCATTCCTATTCTCTATTACAGACTTAGTAAACACTGTGAACTTAGAGTACACTACATTTATTTAAATTTTTTTCTTTAATTAACCTAATTTACTATGACTTTTCTACTTTATAAACTTTTTAAATTTTTAAAGGTTTTGATTCTTTTATAGCTATACAAATTTTTTTAAGGTTTTGACTCATTGCTGTACAAAAATTTTTTTCTATATTTTTATTCTATAAGCTTTTTATTAAAAAAATTTTTTTTTTACTTTTTAAACTTTTTTGTTAAATAAGACACAAACACACACATTAGCCTATGATCAAACAGGGTCAAGAACGTCATTATCACTGTCTTCTACCTCCACATCTTGTCCCACTGGAAAGTCTTAGTCTTCAGGAGCAATAACACACATGGAGCTGTCATCTGCTGTGAAAACAATGTCTTCTTCTGGATACCTTTGAAAGGACATACCTAAGGCTGTTTCAGAGATTTTTTTTCTTTTTTATAATTATAAGTACACTTTAAATGATATAGTGTAAAATACATAAAGTACATAAATCAGTAACATCATTATTAAATACTATGTACTCTACATAATTGTGTGTGCTACTTTTATATGACTGACACTGCAGTAGGTTTTCTTATACCAGCATCACCACAAAAACATGAATAATGTGTTGTGCTATGATGCTATGACAGCTATGAAGTTACTGGACAGTAGAATTTTTCAGCTCTAATATAATCTTAGGAGATCACTGTCATATATGCAGTCCTTTGTTGACCAAAACATTATTATGTGGCACATGACTATAGTTGCAAACTATGCTGTGGTATAGACTTAACCTCACAAAGGTCATAAAAGTATATTAATCATCTTTGTAATCTCAATGTCTATTCCATATTGGCTCAGAATTGGCATAAAGTTTTGCAAAATACATGGATGGAAGGCTGAAAGAAATTAATTTTCTGAGCAAGAAATCCCTATGACAACATCACAGGCATTTATTTTATGTCTGCACATGCAGTTCTCATTGAAGTTCCTCACATTCTGGAACAGAGAGGGATGACCGGGTTTGGCATAATGAGTTGCCAGAAGAATATGTTCTCAACAAACAGCTGTCAGGACCTAAGGTGTTTCTGGCACTGAGCAAGGCTCCGGTGATACTGAGATGTACACAAGAAGATCCCTTGTTTTATGGAACTCACATTCTGTTTGGGCAGAAGTAAAAAGATTCCCAAATAACACAGGTCTGCAGATTATGGTCTGTTTTTTAAATAATACTTTTGGTATTTCAAATCCTGTCTCTGATAAAATGGCATGAAGGTGGTATTAATTGGATGATCATTTTTCCATTGAGGACATGGCTGTCTTTAAATGAAACCTGAAAGATTTTCAGACCTAGAAAGAGCATTAGAGAACATCAAGTCCCACATAAAGATCTTCTTTCTTAGGTTATCAGGCATTATTAACAAAAAAAGAAATTTTGAAGCACATTTAGGGATAAAAGAAATACAACACTGGTGATTTTTGAAGTTTCTTGGAATTTTAGTCAAGTATTCAGAGTACTTTCTCTACTTGGTTAAGCAAGACTTTGAGGGCCCTTGTCTGTGTAATGGAATATGCAGTTTTGTAAATCATTTTGTTGTCTTGTTCAGAGTCAAAAGAGAGATGATTTGATTGCAATAAACTTAAATGCCATCTTTTCTGAAGTGAACAAATATTAAAGTATCATTAGATATTATATCTTTAATTGTATTGCATGACTTGCATCTTAGCAAAATGAAAGCTGGATAAGTATGTTCATCCTTTGGAGGTACTTCAAACATGTAGTAGAAAAATATCTTCCTAAAATGGGTATTATTCATTGTTTTAGAAGCTAAAAACTCTCTTTAGTATTAAAAAATATGTTTGAATGCACACTACTCCTGCTTTACCAAACATACCAAAATCAAAAACAGATGCATATCATATAAGAAGTAAATGTGACTATTCATCCTCCCCTGCACAGGTAACTACTCATTTCCCATTGTAGAGGTGGTTAACTACTGTTAACTGTTGTATGTATACATGCACAGAACTTTTAAAATATATATATAAAATACCTCATGTTTGCATAAGAGTGCATGTAACGTGTGAGTTTAAAGACTAATGATAAACAACTAATTAAAAATGTTCACAGCACTCAGTATCCTAATTAGATTATTAATAAACAGCACATTAACAACCTTTGGATTCCCTTGGTGATTATATTTCTCTCTCTTGCCCAGAGGCAGCCACTATCTTGAAGTCTTTAAATCATTCTTTTGTGTTGATGTTTAATTTTTATATGTGAAACCATAAAAAAAATATGAATATACACATATGCTTATTTTACTTGCTTTATGCACTATATAAAAATGTGTGGGTATATATATCAATGCTCTCCCTATAAACTTGGTATGCAAATTGTATGCAACTAAACAGATTAATTTTACATAATGGAATTATTTTGTATCTGATTTTTTCCTTAGAATTATGTTTTTGAGATTCAGTCATTTTAAAGCATGTAATATATATAGTCCATTGCATGAATATGCCACAATTTATCTATTTTATCGCTTCTCTAGTTGACTGAAATTTGGGTTGTTTCATTTTTGTTATTGTTTTTAATAAAGGCTTTTGCTCCTTATGAGAGAAGCGTCTGGGTGAGGAGTACGCAGCTGATTCCTTTCTCTACACAGTGGTTCCTTCCTGTCGTGTTCCTTGTCCTAGTCTTCTGGGGAGAACTCAGTGGAACCTTATGGAAGAGAGCTTACTGCTGAATACAAAGCCCTCTGTGTTTGCGGCCCCCACCTATTACAGACTTAGGTGTTAGCCCACATTTGGCCTCCAACAATTTCTTAGAATGGTAGCTGGTTTCTTCTTACCCCTTCTTGGGGTGACTGGCCCACCTTCGGGTGAGCTAGTTGGAACATCCCTTTTCTTTTCTTCTTAGAGGAGACTGTCCCTCCTTGGAAATCATTCTTTTTATTTACTCTGTGCCCTCAACTCAGCTCTCTGATAGGGTCAAGGAAATTTACCATTTTGTAGTTTTTTTCTCATTGTTAAGTGGAAACAGCACTCTTCCCTGCTTTCTAAATCAAATGTAGAAGCAGCAGCTCCATTTTCTAGCATTTTGATTCTATTTATTTACTTTTCATAGCATACATTAGATACATATTATATAAATAATGTTTATCTGGACTGTCACATATGTTTACCATGCTGAAACAGACAGCAGCCAACAGACCTCCCATGAGGACATGGCTTTTTATGGCATCTGTAGTTTTTATTTAAAACTTTCAAATTAATAACCAATGTTTGTGAGAAATGTGATGTTACATAGAAATTCAGTTTTCCAACTTCTCTGGAAAAAAACAAACAAAAAAAAACTGATGGCCATAATTCCTGAAAAGCAATAATCACCAAGAGCTGAGCATCTGTGCCATCTAAAGATAGGGCCTGTGTTCACTAGTTCCATTGTGTCTTCTTGACTTGCTCCCTGCATTTATAGACCCTGTAGCCATCTGAGGCCATGAACCCAGCATTTAGGTATCATGTTTTATGTGTGTAACTTGAAGACACATTGGCTCTTTAAACTGTTTACATCACTATTTTGATTTGGTGGCCATGAGCCTCTAAAATTGCCTTCTAAGTATGCCACTAAGTTAAGCTTCCACCTCCTATGCTTGCTTATATGATAGGCTTTGTGCATCCATGAATGTAGAGGTAGGTTTTTTCCCATCTAGCCCATTAAATTTTATTTGATTGCATCAACCCATCTTTTCTGTTACTTAAAGTTGTATGTCTTTTTATATCCCAATTCATTTATCCATCATATTAGTTATTAGCCTTAAGCTTAGATGCACTACAAATAACAGAAAGTCCAAATAATACTGACTTAAACCAAGTAGAAGCTTCCCTTCCATAAAAACAAAGCATAGAATTTTACTCTCCACGGTTATTTCAGCAGCTTTGTAATGTTCAGTGACCAAGGCTTCTCTTAATATTGTTCCTCCTCCATCTTCAATGCACATTCTAGGGCTGCTCAAACTGCCCCCTAGGATTGGTAAGAAGTCACATGTTAACACTGTCACACTTGCCTTTTGTGAGCACCTAGATCAGCACTAAGCTACAAAGGAGGCTGGAAAATGCTGATTTTATTCAAGATGTCCATGTGCCCAGGTAAATAGGTAGTTTATTGAAGAAAGATATTGCCAGAGCACTAGCAGCCTTGTCTCTAGTTTTTTGTCATCTATAAATATAATGATGGTGGGATTCATGTGTTACTGATTAAAAGCATGAGAATAGAACTCTGCGACATGTTGCTATAGACTTACCTTCAGGTATCTTGAGTATAATGGAACAAGTAAGCGTTTGACAAGAAGACAAAAAATAATCCTGGGTATAATTTGGTAAATATTCCAAGATTAGAGAAAGGCAACTTAGATTATGAGAGTATCTTCTAGTGTTCTAATAGAATAGGGACACTCCCACAATTACAAGGAATTTCTTTATTATGCATTGGGTATATGTCTATACAACAGGCCTCATGCTGCCAAAATTAGATCAGAAATGCAGTGAGTTATTAGAAAATTAGTATGTCTTTTCTACTTGTAAGTCCCGAGAACACTTTTCCCTGGTCACGTTTGTTTTCATGACACAAGTAATAAGTTTTCAGTCACTTTTCTTTTCCTTTTAGAGCTGTTCCTACCCTCTTTCTTACGCAGGATTCTTCCCTGTCCCCCAGTTGGCTAGGAATCCAAGATTCCTCTTCTCTGTCCCTCTCAACAACAGGCACCTATGCCCTTATCTGTGGTTAAACCAGAGTCTCTGGTCCATAGTTTCTGACTCTTTCAGAGGTAATAGTAGTAGGAATCCTACCTATTATCTCTGATTTGACATATTCCTAGAGGGAGACAGAGCCCATCAAATCCTGTGGTAGAAGAGCTCATTATGCACTCCTGTCCGCCTGCTATGTCAGATTTATCTGCCTTGAGGTTTCTAGGGTCCAACCAAGACAACAGAAGAAGTAGCAACTAGCTCTTCTTCCTTTGCATCTCTGAGGGCCTCTGGGCCACAGAACACCTCAGTAGACACTGCCTTCCTAGAGACCAATCTTCAAAGAGTTTAGGTCAGCAAGAAAATTCGTCTGAGTGTTTCCAGAGACTTTGTTAGCAATTATTGCCAACAAAGTAATAAAATACTAGAAGCTGAGGTCTGGTTTTCTCCCTTCCTCCCTACTCCTTTCCTCTACTTCTCTCTCTTCAAGTGTGTGTGTGTGTGTGTGTGTGTGTGTGTGTGTGTGTGTGTGTGTGTGTATAAAAGCAAAGTGTTTCTACACCTTATATTTCTGAGGTGATATGACAGCAATTCTTGACAACTGCAGAGCTGCCAAATTTGCATGTAACCAACATTAAAAAAAAGATGTAGCTGAATTTCCCATTGAATTGCTTTTCTTTAGTTTACTTTTTAATTACAATTCCTCCCAGGCAAATTTCTTCTAAGGTTTTATCAGTATTTTAAGACAATAAAGAACATTAGTTGTCATACTAATATTTAATATAACTCGTACAAACAGGTTTAGGTTCTTTCAAGGCTAGTTTCTCCTTCAAGTTGGCTTCAACCTCCTACGAATTCTGATCATTCTGGTAACCTAATCATTTTATCTATCCTCTCTTCCTTTCATGGAATGAGAAGAAGAATTCAGGAGACTGAGATGAGTTTCAGGGCACAGTGTATATGCCAGGGGGACAGCTACTGTACAATAAATGCCTACTATGTGATAGGCACTTTATGGACATTTGGTAGCACATTTGATCTTTACAATTCGCGAAAATGAAAAGTCGTTTTTGATATCCCAGTTTATATATGACCAAATGGAGTCTCAGAAAGTTTAATTTGTCTATAGTTTACACATCTAGTAAATGACAAAGATGATATGAAAACCTACTCTGGTGGACTTCAGAGCCCATCTTCCTTCCACTAAGGTACACTGCTCTGTAAAGGGCAGGCACATGTCATCAAATGAAGGGACATTGCCCACCACTGCTGGGACTCTCTAGAGGATGCCTTGATGACCAGACTCAGGAATTCCAAATTGATTGGTAAGCATGCACTTTTTCCTGTTAATAAATAAAAGTTCATGAAACAGTGTTATAAAAGATGTAACTACCATCATTACAGACACATTCTTCCAGTCCCACTTACATTGGGTGAGGAATTTTTTCTCTAATAAGGGTCACTGACTCACAGTAAAAAAGTTAATCAAGGGCTATATGGAAGAAAAATAGTGCATTGTGATTTTAAAAGTAAACATAAAAGCTTGAGTAATCTTTAAAATGAGAGCAGGACCTATAAAATATTTCTTATTAGCTACTGTACAACAAGCATTTCAAAACAGACATGATTTCATTACGTTGAAAGTTAAAAGAGATGAGGAAAAAAGAGAAAGGTAGGAAGAGAAGTGAAAGAAGTCATTAGAGATGTAAGGTGGAAGTAGATAATTAGCCCAATAGAGCAAGATAAAGGAGGGGTTGCATAAAGATGGAGCGGGAAAGGTAGAGGTACAAAAGAGTAGTAGAAAAATACGCACTTATAAAATGTGGTATATATACACCATGGAATAGTATGCCGCCATAAAAAAGAGCATGGTCATGTCTTTTGCAGGAACATGGATGAAGATGGAGGCTAACATCCTTCGAACTAATGCAGGAGCATAAAACCAAATGCCGCATGTTCTCACTTATAAGTGGGAGCTAAATGATAACACAAGGAAACAACAGACACTGCAGTCTACTTGAGGGGGAGGGTAGGAGGAAGGAGAGGAGCAGACAAGATAACTATTGAGCAGTGAGCTTAAGACCTGGTTGATATAATAATATGTACAACAAACCTCCACGAGACATGTTTACGTAACAAGCATTCACATGTACCCCACAAACCTAAAATAAAAAAATTTTAATAAAAAAGCAATAGCTAGAAAGTAAATAAAAGTTTCGAATTGTATTGACAACAAAAAAAGAGAAAAATGTGCACATATAGAGAAGAGAGAAAAGGAAAGGTTTTCTGAAGTACCACTCCTTAGCTTCCTGTTCAGCTGGGCTGTTGACTTTGTATTATTGTCACAAGGAAGTGTCGATTTTATTTCAAATTAATAGTAGTAGTTTATTTATACAAACCAGGATAAAGAGCATAATTTCAACTCTGGCCGTCTAATGTAGGTATCTCTCTTCAATACCTGAAGAATTCTGTGTTTTAGTAGGAGCATCAAAGGGGGGCATTGGCATTAAATAAATATTATAAAGTATACAAATCTGATTTAGCAATTTAAGTATAAACCTTTATTTACTAAACCAGGAAGTAAGATTATTTGCATATAGTTCATCTACAGTACTAATTAAGTTGATATCAGTTCACTGCTTTTGTGCATGCACACATACCTTCTAATTAAAAGCAAGTTGGCCTTAACAACAATAGAATACTGAACAAAATTTAAGGCAAAAGCATTAATAGGGGTATAGTCAGATATTATCATTATTAACAGGAATAATCCACTAAGAAGATGCTGCAATCATGATTGTTCTATACCTACATGGTAGATCTTAAATAAAAAAGAAAACCTGGTAAACTTAGCACACCTTCATCCGAGACAAGTAGATCAAGCAAAGTAATCATTTGAAGGATGCAGAAAATCTGAACACGATATATAGTAAGTTTATGTATAGAGAGAGCATGGGGTCAGCAAGGTGGCAAGGTAGCTTTCTTCTCCCACCCCTTGGCAACTCGTTACCCTTTCTGTTTGTCTGTTTTTCCTGCTTGACATTGGCACGTAGGAGTGGATGTGTGTGTGTGTGAAGCTCTTCTCATTCCTGTATCTTTTAAGCTCCATTAGCATTAAGTTTAATTTACTCTTCAAACTCTTCCTATTAAATGTATCTTCTCTGTTTCTTTTTCATCTTCTCCTGGTGAAATGGCATTAGATTAGGACAATATTAGAATTTTTAAAATGATTTTTCTTCTTATTAGCTTCTAGTGTCTGATTACAAAATCACCTTGCTTAAGAATCTAACATGATTTCTCATTACACCTCTTAGTCTGATCATGCATGAATTGCTATGCTTGTCTCACCATAGCTGTCCGTTCCAGTTACTTTTGCTTTATAAACAACTGCCCCAGAATCTAAGTGCCAAAAAACAATTTTTTATGCTCACAGATTCTTTGGGTCAGGAATTTAGACAGAGCCTAGAGGGGATGACTTATCTTTGATCCCCAGTACGGTATCTGAGATCTCAGAGAATACTCAAAAGCTTGGTATGATTTGATGGCTGGGGTAGTCTGGCACCATCTTCAGCCATATGTCAGGCAGTTGTTGCTGACTCTCCAGAGACCTCATCTGGGATGTTGACTGGAGCACCTCCATGGGGCCTCTCTGTATTGTCTGTTCACCTGGCTGGTTTGGAATTCCTCACAGCATTGTGGCTAGGTCCCTGATATGGTTTGGCTGTTTCTCCACCCAAATCTCTTCTTGAACTGTAGTTCCCATAATCCCCACATGTCATGGGAGGGAGTAAGTCTCACAAGATCTCATGGTTTTATAAAGGGCAGTTCCCCTGCACACACTCTCTTGCCTGCTGCCAATGTAAGGCATGTCTTTGCTCCTCCTTCACCTTCCACCATGATTGTGAGACCTCTCCAGCCATGTGAAACTGTTGAATCCATTAAATTTTCTTACCCAGTCTCAGGTATTTCTTTTAGCAGTATGAAAATAGGCTAATACAGCACCAAGAGTGAGCATAATGAGACAGCAAGCCATTTTTATGATGTAGCCCTCAGAAGTTACAGAACATCACTCTGCCATATTATATTGGCAAGGGAAGTCATCAAGGTCTGCTCAGTCAGGTGGAAAGAGAGGGCTGTTGACCTCACCTCTTTATGAGAGGAACATCTTTGTCACATTGTAAGAAGGACATAAAATATGAGAGATACTATGGTGGCATACCTGTCAAATACAGTTTACCACACTGTCCAACCCAAATTTTGACAAAGCGAATCTTTTATTTCACCATCATTTCACCTCTTTGTTCTGCAGGCTTATTCCGAAGGATGCACTCTAGTTCATGTGACCTCTATACTGGAATTGTCTGTGAGAAGCTTCTCTGCTGATCAAAATCCTACACATCCTTTAAGACCAACTCAATTCCCAGGCTGCCGAGAGCAGACTTGCTGGGGGAAAAATGTTTTTCTGTTATTTTGAAGGTCCATTTTGTTTCCACAGTTGGCATAATTTAAGACACTGTTGGAGTTAAAATAGTTATTGACATTATTTTTAAAATGTTATATCTCTAGTATTTACCTTTGTGTTGAATTTTTCTTGTTGCTGCTATTTTAGGCTATGTTTTTTCTTCCTGCTCTGAGGTAGAAAGGCAGGATTAGTAGCACATTGATGGTTGAGGGCTGCCATAAAATCTGACCAAAGGGCTTTACAACCAACATTGTGCCCATTTCCCGGGGTTTATCTATTTACTCTGTAGATTCTCTCTTTTAAAAGGGGTAAAACTCTTTAGTTTTGTTTCCTGAGAAAAAATTAAATCCCATATATTCATCATGTTTCAGAAATATAGCTTGAACAGATATTTCAGATTATATAATATTGCTACAAACCCAAGTGAATTATAAGAAAATGTTTTCAGTTATTTCGGAGAAGGTGATAGTACTCAAGGTCATGGAAACAGTTATCTGCTAAGCTGATAATGTCATTAAAATGATGAACATTCAAGAGTACTGAATGGTATTTCTGGTTTATGCCTGGGAATGAAATGGGTGTATTCTATTTGAATATGCATTCTACTTAAGTTTAAATATCATGATTCAAATTAGGGACAGTATCACCCATACCACATTAAATGATTTATTAAGAAATAGAAATTAGGTATATATGTACAGACATAGGATTGGGGGGCAGGGGTATAAAATCTGTTAACTTGATTTTCTTTTACATTTCCAAAGAGCATAACTTTAATCTCTATTCAGTCTCCATTTATGCATATTTTAGTAAAGCTTTATTCAGTTGCCTTGGTAGTTTTCATAGATGCCCAAAAAGGAATCTGAGTCTTGTGGGGGATTTGAACCATGTAGTTGTGAGTTGTGTATACACATTCTGCCACGCTGACCAAAGGGCTTTACAACAAAGATTGTGCCCATTCTCAGGGGCTGTATGCCTTTGGGGAAAAAAACGAATGGAAAAATGGATTCACTTCCTGTGACATCCCATTTCCTACTGATCAGGGTCCTCATTTTGCCCTTCACACTCATGTCTTTTTATGATGCTGTGTCTTAGTTTGGTTCAACACCTCCTGTGACTTCAGCTTTATAATTTCCAAACAAGGTAGAGCCAGCATTACGTACTAAAATCAGTACCACCAACGTGTAAATCAAACCTGTGGATATTTCTGAGCTAGAGTAGAAAAGGAAGAGGAGCAGGGCAAGAGAAAAAAAAAAGGGGGGGCTTAATTTAAGAAGAGATTGTGGTGTTCAGCCCAGAAAATTTCCAGTGAGTGTCACTAGATTCATTTTTTGAGTATGGTTGTTGATGGTGTTTTTCCTGTTACGGGGGAAAAAAGCCATTATCTAAAAATCCTATTCCTAGTTATACGAATGCAAAAGAATTGGCTTTCTCTGTGTGCTTTTTGAGTTTTTGGGAAACTGCCCTATGGTTGGAGGGGGAAATTATGTAGTACTATTATTTGGTTCCCCATCTTTGATGAGCCATTCTGACAGTTCATTTGGAGTGTGCCTTTCATGACAGTGGCTTAAAAGTCAGAGAACATGGGATTAACTTATTTTTAGACAATATAATTAAGTATCTACAGAGGGTCTAAAAAGGTTTGGAAACACAGTGTGGGTATATTATTATACTTACTATACATATATTTTTCAGATTAATTCTTGTACCTGCTGTTTTAAATGTAGAGTCCCTTCACCTGAAGATGGAAGAAGAAATATATTGGGCATGATATTTATAAATGTAGCTAACATACTATGTAAAAAATAATTTTATGCTGTGTTTCTTGATATTGCTATATTAGGCTATGTTTTTTCTTCCTGCTTTGAGGTAGAAAGGCAGGATTAGGAGCACATTGAGGGTTGAGGGCTGCCATAAAATCATTTGTCTCAGGAAATGAAGACCAGAACAGTCAGGAAATGCTAGGAAAACCAGTAATGGTGTACATGACTGCTGAACAGGAACTGAATTGAATCCCTAAGTCACCCTGTGCATTGCTTTCAAAGTTACATTGTTTCTAGGAAACATGGTCCCTAACATTTATAGCCATTACATAGGAATCACTATTTAATACCTCAGTTATTATGTATGTTGCCTTTAGGCTTTTTTTCCAAAAAAAAAAAAAAAAAAAGCCTTCAGGGAATTTGACCAATAATACGTATAACTGCTTTGGATTATTTTAGTCCCTTTTCTCCGAAGAGTTCAGAACAGCAGAGGAACTCAGAGCCCAAATGGTTGCGCTGCAGCGGTGCCTCTTGCCCATGTGTTGTGGCTGTGCAATTAACCCAAATGACCAAACTGAAGCATGCTTTTGGGAGGCAGACTGCTTTGCTTTCTTTGATACAAACACGTAATTATACTTTCACAGTGAAACAGTATTGAATGAGAGTGACCATAAAACTCTGAGAGCCCTAGGGTACAAGCAGAACAGTTTATGATTGTGAAAATTAAAATGAATTCTCCACAGGGTGTAAACAAAACAACTGAAACCTTTTCTATTCGTTGATATTGAATGGAGGTGTATGCAGACATTGTTGAAGGAATAAGTAAGTTCTTTTAACATACATGAAAATTGTCTATCTCTAAAAGAATAACTGTTTTTTAAAAATCAGCCTATTCTCTAAGTATAGGTAGATACACACACACATAGAGACACAGACACATTAAAGAATAGTTCAATCTGTTCTAAAAGATTGTGGACCTCACCTCTATTTTGTCTGTGCCTTTATTTTTATAATTCCTTTAACCAGTATTCAGGTTTTTTGTCTGTTTGTTTGTTTGTTTGTTTTACCAATTTTTGGAAGACAAAAATGCAACTCTTTATATTGGGAAATTTTGTGAATTTAAAGCTGCCAAACATGAAACCCATGAGATCCCTCCTATGCTGAGATTTGGTTGGCAGTGCTATTTTCTTGCCTCTGTCCAAAGGAAGCACTGGTCTTTAGGTGCTTCCATTTTGGACAGTGTGTTTCCTTTTGCCTCATTTATTTGCTGCTCTCTATTGTAGCATAAGAAGCCCTCTTCTGTGTTCCCTTTGCTTAGAGTGAGTTGCTTGGCAGATGAAGTTCAGATGGAACATGGCAAGCGAATAGAGAAAACTTAGCTAACTTAAACAGTTCAACTAACATCTAAACGCCATTTATTTCAATGACTGATAGGGCTGTTCATAAAATAGAATTGTCCCAATGCAGACATATCTTTAGCCCTGGACTTCTTTTCAGAAATTTGAGCATTACTGACATTATGGCAGTAATGGCTGCTTGCATTTGACAGTGACACTGTCCATACTGGCCACTTATTAAAGGGTAACATCTTAGAAATCCTGCTGCTCCACAATGGTGACAATTGCATTGGACATGTGACCCAGTAAACAGGTCACTCCACTCAGAGCCATACCTGCAGGTCTCGTTAAGTAATCAGAATTCTCACATTCGGCCCACCGGCTGTTCTTTCTTTGTGGTAGCCCCCTGCTTCTGGAATTCCTACTGACTTCCTTTCTCAGCGTCACTGTATCTTTACCTCCAGTGGTGCCTTCCCTGGAGGACATGTGCAGCTCCAGAATCCTAATATCTCCAATTACTGTCATTCTGTCTTGAGGACTGATTCTAAAGCTCCATAGAACTAAGCTTAGATGGTAACAGCTGACACATTCTCCCCTTGCCCTTTCTCTCACAAATCTAATGTCCTCAGAGGCTCATTTAGAGACAGAAAAGAACAAAAAAGATGCTACTTCGGCTAAGCAGTTGATTTTTCACAGGAAAGAACATTTCCTAGGAGACATTGTTGAAAGGGGATATATTTGAAAAAAGTAAGGAATATAAAATGAAACTAATTAAGAAATTAGAAGGCATGCTTTAAGCACTCACATCACTGCATTTGACAATGATGAAATACAGTGTAAACTGATTATAGCTGCCAGTATTGGATTGGGTGAGGAAAACACTGGCTAGAATATAGACAAGTGATTGCAATTGGATAATGAACCAGAGGTTTTGTTTTATATTTGTCACTGTAAAAACAAACAACATAGTGACAAACTGGATGAGAAATTAGTGTAGGAAAATGAGAATAGAGAAATTTCAGAGATTACAAAAAGAAGAGGCAATGGGATTTTGTGACTGATTATGGAGAGGTTGATTTTGCAGCTGCAGGTAAATCTTCCTGTCACAGCTGACTACTCTGGCTTCCCTGGGAAGAGGTTTTCTTTCAAGAGCAAGTACTTTTTATTTTTTGATTTGTTTAAATACTAAGTACATCTTTTTTGAATAGGAATTTTTTTTCCACTTTTCAGTGTAATACACACGGACTCTTGGAGAATAATGTCTGCCTTACAATTTAAACATTTATGGAGTCCTGACTATGCTTTCTGTGCTTCATTTCACACGGTCATTGGGTCATTGCAACAATGCTGTGAGCTCCTTACCACTTTTACTGCCATTTGTTTATAAGGGAACTGAATGAACCTCAGGAAAGTTAGCAATTTGCCCCAAGTCTCACAGGCATCCTGGCCCCAGGGCCTGGAGTTCTGCCTGCCACCACACAGTGTTAGGACGAAAATGCCAGACATGAAATCTGTATATAACAGTCCTGCTAGGAAGTGTTACTAGCCCCATTTTTCCGATGAGGAAACTGAAGCTCGGAGAGTTCATGAAGTAAATAAGTGGTAGGATTTAAAGTCGGAGGTGTCTGACCTTCCTCCAAATTATTCTTTCCACTGCTGTCTGTAGTCCTCAGCCAATGTTGGCTTAATAACAGCAACAACAACTGCTCACACTTTTACAGTACTCACCTTGTGCAAGGCACTATTGTAAGCACTTTACATATTAGTTTTTACGTGAGGAAATTGAAGCTCAGGGAGGCTAAATAACTCACCCAAGGTCATATAACAATTAAGGGATGGAACTGGAATTTGGGTCCAGGCAGTCTTACTCTATCAATTGATCATTATATATTCTTCTCAAAGAATGAAAATGAGTGAAAGCAAAAATTAAAAAAGGGAAAAATCAAAGCAGTGTTTAGCCTTCTTAAATGTTTCAATGGCCTAATATCATTCGAAATGAAGCAATGTTTAATTTGATCATTGATAATCTGACAGAGTTTGTCGAATGCAGGTAACTGGAGTTGGAGAGAGCAGAAAGCCAACATTCTTAGCCAAAAGACCTGACCTCTTTGAGCAGTCTTCATACTAAGAACGTATCACAGCAGCTAAATAGGCTTATCACTTCTTTCAGTGAATTGGGCATATCTATTAATGCGTTATCTTCATTAGAACTTGGCAGCACTGATTATGATGACAAAACAATATAGTTACTCATTAAATGGCACAATCCTACCCAATGCCATCACTGTGAGTTTTGCTGAGATATTTTGCATTTGAAGTGGAAAAAGTCTTTTTTATGGACATATCTTTTTTTTTTTTTTTAGCAACAAGAACCTGTTTTATTTTTTCCAAATACAGATACAGAAGTTTGCATGTTTTGCAAATATTGCTTCAAAGCACACTTCTATATACAGCGCCTTCTGTTCTAATAGCGCGTAAACATAGATATGTCTCATCTTTAATCTTAAACTCTTTTTAAAAAAACTAACACAATCTTCTCTGATTTTGAAAGTCAGCCTGATAATAGATTAATATGGGATACAGTGAAACCTTCCTTCCCTTGCAAAACAGAGAAGCATGTAAAATGGAGCCCTACTCCTCTCCCAGTACACCTTTTCAAAATTGCTCAGTCTTCTGAGATTTTAAGATGAGGGGAAGAGAGAAAAAGGATTCCAGTTGCTTCAATTCATTGAAGTCCCTGCTGGCCTAGGGCATCCCTGTCACCATTCACAATTTTCCCCATTCACCAAGGGCATGGTTAAGTACAGGCATCGCTTGGTTGCATTGGGTCTCATTTTTGGAAAAGGATACATTCACAGAGAATTTATGCCATCATTTTTAGAGAATGGTGAAATTTTATTTTAAAAAATTTAAAGCAGACTACTCTGCTTCCCTTGGGACTCTTAGGTTTCAAGAAAAAAAAAAATGATTCTTTTTTTTCCAGATCAAAATACAGGCAACAGCTGCTGTGTTTTTGCTTTGTTTGGTTTGAACTCTACTACAAGAAACATCAAAGGCTCCATAATTTAGATTAGAGAAACAACCTAGTGGGCAGAAAAGCAGGACAAAACCCCAAACAAAGGCCAACCCTGGCACAGGTCTCCAGAGTCTCAGAAGTGGCCTGATAGTCTGCCTTTTGCCTGGACGCAGGGCCGGGATAACAAAACCTCTGGAGGTACAGAATCCTGATGTGTGTGTAGTGAGAACCCTAGGCTGGTTGGTCACTTAACCAGGGAGAGGAAACATAAGGAAAAGAAACCGAGAATCTCCCTCCAGTTATAAACTAAACAATGGTAGAATTTAGGCTCTGTTCTTGCTTCCACAGCCAGGAAGAGTCCACTTTATCTGTCCCTTCTCTCTCTCTTTTAATTTGCAAACAAATTTTTTAACATTTATTTTTGATCTCACATATCCAATTTATTTTTTGTACAGACCTATGAATTTTGATAGGTTACGTAGCCCCATCACAAGCAAGATGCAGAACAGTTCCATCAGCTCCAAAATGAGTTTGTGCAGCCCATTTGCAGTCACATCCTCCCCCATCCCCATCCCATCCCTCACCTGCTTTCCATCCCTATAGTGTTGTCTTTTCCAGAATGTCATATAGATGGGATCATAAGGTATGTAGTCTTTTGCATCTGGTTTCTTCTACTTAACATAATGTATCTGAGATTCATCCATGTTGTGTATATCAAGAGTTCACTCCTGGGTAGTAGTCTTCTGTATGGATATGCCAGAGTTTGTGTGTTCATTCATTCATTGAAACTATTTGTTGATTCTGTTTTTGAGCCATTATATGTAAAGCTGCTGTGGACATTCGTGTAGAGGGTTTTTTGTGAACGTATGTTTTCATTGCTCTTGGGTCTTCTCCCATTCTGAATGGGTATAACACATGGATTTCTATTATCCTTTTTCGCTTCTTCTCCCTCAGTATAATAGAAGGAAGTGTAGTGAGTAGAGCTGAAAAGTTCCACAACCCTAAACCAGGCAACTTTTTCAGGATCATGACCAGCCACTTCTCAAGCTTAACCCCTGAAACATACATTTTAGGATTTGGAAGGCAAGAATAGCAATTCCATTGATATCAGGTGCCTGGAATGGGGATACAATGAAAGCTGCCCTTCAAACAGGATCATCTAGACCATGGGAGACACTGCCCTTCACTAGCATAGGAATATATTAAATATTTAAAAATAAATACAATTTAAATGAATAAACTAAAAACTAGTATTTACTATATGAAATATTTTTGTGAATAATATTTACATTGTATGGGCAATGTGTTTTTATTCAGAGACAAGTAAAGGTCCCAAAAGGGCTGAAAAGGGCTGGTCATACCAGTTGGATAGAAGTTTCAAAGATGGTGGTATAAGGGAGGTCAGGAATG